TACAACTTAGAAATCAGGGTTGACTTGGGAGTAAAGCCACAGGTGGATGGTGAATGGCCCCTCCCATAGGAAATAAAAGAGGAGCGAAAGGAGAGTTGGTTTTTGCAGGAAACAATTCCTTCCTTCCTTCCTTCCTTCCTTCCTTCCTTCCTTCCTTCCTTCCTTTCAGGAGTGTGAAAATCTGTCCATGAATCTCAGTGACTCTGTGCCAAGTGTTTCCTTGCACAGAACTTGCATTTGGAAAATATTTACATGGCAGCTTTCCAAGCTAGATAAGATCTGTGGTCATAAATTCACCTTTGAAAGACTGTTTGCCAGGCCTTTGGTGAATGTGAATGAGGGGAATTCACATGCGTTTAATAAAAGGTGTTTTGTCGGGAGCAGAAATCTGCTTCATGCTCTTGAGGAAGCCTAGGTCAGAACAACAGATTGGAGTTGAACCATTTATGAGAACATAATGGTTCCAGAGTGATTCCTCTCTTGCACCAACCCCAGGCTCTGCCTGTCCTTTGCCTACACTTGGACCCAATGGAGGCATCGTGGAACCTTTTGAGAGACAAAAACATTCCTTACTTCCAAGCTCCTGAGAGTGAATTTATTGGCAGTCCTTATGGGAGAAAATACCAGGTATCTTTTTGTCTTGGAATATCTCATTAATATGCTGAACATGTGAACTTACATACTTAAATTAGATGTAGACTGGCATTTCTGTTGGTGCTGATGGGATGCTCAGTGTAAAATTAGCTGGGATTAGTAAGGTTTGTATTTTGTAAAAAACCTGATCCTGAAAGAAATAGAAAATTACTGGCTGTGGACCAAAAGGACTTGTAAGGCATCGTGTTGTGGGGGTGGGGATGAAGAAAACACCCAGTTTCTCTGTCTAGTAGTCGTTCATCACAGCTTATGGAGAGGACTCCCAGCACTTGGGGTTAGTATGGAAGGAACCATAATATCCATGCAAAATATAACACATGGCGCATTGGACATCAGCCAGTATATGTTCAAGGTATCAATAGAATAAATCTCAGCATAGATAAAAGAATAGAGAAGTTCATCCCTTCTACTATCTACCCCATCACTGTTACACTGTCATCACCTGTTCTTCTGATTCCTAGTGCAACCCAGTAACTCTGTCCTTGCAAGCAAGGCCTACCAGTTCCCATGAACTTTGCTCCTAGCTTACGGGAAAAGAATCCCCAGTTCCAAAATGTATTCCTCTATCTATGAATTTTGCATACTACTGTAGTCATGTAACAGACAGGCTCCTGGCACTGAAAAGAAATGAGGTATTAAAAAGAATTAAAATAAAATCTCTTGATCTTAACTGGTGTTTGGAAAACTGTCAAGATAGGCACCCACCCAGGCTCTGGGGAGAGCTATTTCCACAAGGCATTACGGGCCATTATTCCCAGCTTTATTTATTTACTCCTAGGATAAATCCATCCGAAAATGCTGCATGGCACAGACCCAGTTCCAGCCTTGAGTTGATACAGACCCTGATGCATGCAAAGCACAGTCTGAATTAGGACAAAAATCTCTGCAAGTCATTCAGAAGAAGATTAAATTTAGCAGCATGCTTATTTATTTATTTTTATCCCAGTGTTGCTTCTATAGATAACTCAAGGTGCAAATGCACCTAACAATTCTTCTTCCTCCTAGTTACCCCCATAAAAAGGTGAGTTGGACTGAGTGTGACTATTATAAATTAATCTTCTTCTTCTTCTTCTTCTTCTTCTTCTTCTTCTTCTTCTTCTTCTTCTTCTTCTTCTTCTTCTTCTTCTTC